TATTCTATCAGTGAAAACACATAAAGGGAGTATGGCCAATGTTTCAAACATTAGAGGCAACTAGAAGTACACCAAAAAGGGTAAAACCTCAACACTAATTATTAATCTTTTTAGGAGGGTTAAAAATGAAAAAGGTGTTTCTCCTTCTGCAAGGGGTTTGCGTGTGAATGGTAAATGGCCTGTACTTGTAGACCTCTTTTTTTTTAAGTCAGGAAACTTGATGAAAGTGTTTTACACTACAAGCTATATTAGTAGCCACAGATGCCCTGGGGTCAGACAGAAGCAGGACTGCAATACTCAGGATCCACTGGGCCCTCTGCCCACCATCATTAGGCAATATTTGTGAAGACACAATGATATTGAGAGCTGGAACTGGAATTTAAACCAATGACCCTTTTGCTGCAGGGCAACCTGCTGCATCTGACACCACTGTTGCCCCATATGCATGTCCTCCCTTTGCATGTGTAGTTTCTCTCTGGATACTCTTGCTTCCCACAGTCCAAAAGACAAGACTGTTGGGCTGATTGGTGTCTCGAAATGTTTAGGTTTCTGCCCCCCCTCCCATGACCCTGATGGACCAGTGGGTATAGACAATGGATGGATTATCCTCTTCCTGTGAACCTCAATGATTCCTGTCTGTTTCTGCCTGAGCAGCTTCTGTGTTGAGACCTGTGACCTGTCACTCCCTGATCCCTCTGCTGCACTAGCAATCAGGTCTGAGTGGTTGCACCTGTAGCAACTCCAATTGCACCTGGGGAAAGCACTATATATTAATCGCTCTCGCAGAGGAAAACCAGCAGATTCTTGAAAGCTGATCATATGAGGGTACCATGAAGTATTCCTTGTTTTGACCTTTTGATCTCAACCTGTTTCACTCCTGTTTTCTTCTGCCTGTCCAAGCATTACAAAACCATAGATATCATCATATATAACAGCCATAGATATCTGCTATTGTCCCAATTTAAAAACAATGTATTGTTCAAATGAGCAGAAACAAAGACATTTTAGGTTATAATCTTATTCTTTTTGTTGATCAATGAAGGTTTTAAACCAAATGTTATTGTGGGGGCTGGGTGGCTGGTTGGGTCCAGGGTTTTTTCAAGGGGGCACAGGGCAAAATAAACAAGCAAATAAAATGGGCACTAATTGATTGTTCAATCAAGTGAGCCAAAAAGCTGTTTGTGGCTTTGGAGCTCTAGGTTTCAGACCACTGATTCAGCAGATGAACGCTATCATTCTATCTCAGTATGGCTGAAGCTAGGCCTACAGCACCTTCATTTTTAAATAAAAGTTAAACTAAGTATGGTAAAAACTTACATTTGTGTCAGGGACAATTAAGTTAAGGTTTCCTTGCCAAACATAAACAGTAGTAGCCATTAAAAATTTCCCCACTTTTCTTGATGGGCCCTTGGTTGGTCCCCTACAATTCCTTTAAACATCAATATTTGTACTAAAAACCTGGTCAGACTCTGTAATTCAGTGAAAGGGTGGAGTCAGATTAAAAAATCCTGCAAGACAGGGTCACTCCAGTGGCTGGAAGTTTGAGGGGATTTCGCTGGGAGTTGGAGGGAAGTGGGCTGCCATTCTGTGTTTGACTTAGAAAGGCCTTTTTCAATAGCTACTGTATCATCATAAGAAACTGGTTTAATATCTTGTCCTCAGTCTAGAGGCCATAACAAGGCCAGGACCAGTTCTAAAGGGACACTGCCTCTTTTGGCCCCTGTCTAGAACCGTCTGTACAGTTGATATTTCTTAGAAATTCACATTACCTTAAAGCTACAGTGTGTAATTTTCAGCGACATCTAACGTCCAGACTGCAGACCGCAGCAACATGAACATCTCCCCCCCACCGCTTCTCCCCCCCAACAATACGGCGAGCGTTACGGGACAAAATGTCTTCCACGACGTCCGAATCACCTACTGTACCTTCTCAAGTGATGAGGTTTGTTTACATAGATAATTTTACAGATAGTATTTCATTAGTCTGTGTAGGGTATAGATTTCATGCAGACTTAAGATAATAAATATACCCGTTATTTTTTCTACATCGTTGGGACGTTTTGGTGAGCTGCTTTGCATGGTGATATAAACAGACAAAGTAATTGTAGTCATTAGTTTAACAGCGAGATTGTTTTCGCTGGAAGAATATATATTCCCCGTTTACAGAGTCCAAGTCTTGTTTGTGGCATGGGGGTTACAAGGCGAGGAAGAGGGAGAGGAAGAGGGCAGAGAGGCCGGGGTGGGTGGCAGCCAGGGCCAGGCGAGGGAGAGGTGCCAGTGGAGTGACTAGAGCAGAGGAGGAAAGGCTTGAAGATCTCCAAAGGAGCCGGAGAGAAGTAACCGAGGTATATATCCGTAGCTCGCTAATATGCAGCTTCATATATCTGTCTCTCTCACACTCACACACGCCACTATCAGCTGTGGTAATTTTATGAAGCTGTGGCCTTATCTAGGTAATGCTACCAGACATCTTGACAATAGTTTGGTTGAAACGGGATGTGGGGGTGGGGTATTACGTGTATAAAAAGACAATTGTGTGTGTAGGATTAATTACCTGTCCAACAGAAAACTGGCAACTTGAGCGTCACTTTGAAAACGTTTTTCCTCCATCAGTGACTTCCATCGTGTAAATGCTGTGCCAATGTTGATCCGTGTTTTTTGCCGTTTCTTGTCACGCTTGCGTTTATTCTCGTCGTGTTTCCGCTTCTTAGATGACGGGGGTTCGGTGTCCGCCGCTTTTCGTTGTGATACAGAGTAGGCATGATCCTCCATTCGTCTGATGTTTGGCCACACAGTGCCAAACAGTTTGCAAAGTCACTCACGCCTGCCGCCTTGTTCACCTTTCTTGTTACTGAGGCGCAGTATACCTGCTTCTTCTTCTTCTTTGGTTTCAGGCAGACTAAATGCTTCTCAGGCATAATACTGCCATCTATTGTTCAGTACCGTCTCAGTTCATCTCTCTCAACTTGCCATAGTTACTTTCGAGCGTAACGGGCGATCTCGCAATCGCTAGTTCGTTGCCTCTGCGCTTGCCGTAACGCAAAGATGTCTTCCTCCATGGCTGCGAGACCCGCTCCTATGTAATTATAAATAACGAATTCTAAGGCAACGCAAATATTATGGTTAAAAGGCTGAGCTCATAGGTGATGATAAATAACATAGTTATGTATAATATATTACATTTCTGACTTTATATCCCTGTAATTATTACACACTGTAGCTTTAAGTACCATAAAAAATAAATGTAAAACAATCCCTCAGTCATTTATAAATCTTGAAAATTTCAGAAACTAACAATGCCATGTGTACTGTAAATCATCCCATTGACACATTGTGAAACCTTGTTTTTTTTTTTTTTTATGTGTTTTGAATGATGTGAGTTTGGAAACTCTTTGTTTCCAGTGGTCAGTTTTTAAGAAAAAAAAATTTGCCTCTGTCATGACCGAAAATCGATTAAAAAAGGCAGATGTACAGTTTTGACATCAAGGGCGTAGGTTTGATTTGAACTTTGGTAGGGACACTATTGGTCTGGTGTCATTGGTGCTATGCAATATGCATGCCCTTTTTTATGCTCGATGTGAGCATCCGTACTGATAAGAGGAATTCATTGTTAAAAGAGAAAAGCATAATTTTGCTACATTAATAAAAATTTTATAAGCACTACACTCATTAGATGCTGTTTATTAAAGTTTGAAGTATCACCGGCTCTGATGAATGTGGAATTAGGACTGTTTTCCACTTTGAAAATGCTTTCATTTGAATGACTAAGACAGAAGGTAAATACAGTATTTTCTTCTGAAGATATAGAATTATGCAGAGTTAAACCCCACTCTTATATTTTACCTATTATTCTCTCTCTGTATCAAGCAAAATAATACATTCATTAAAATATTAACTTCACTATAAAAGTTGAACATCTGGGCTGTAGTTACTCTGTGTAGCCCAATTCAGGTATTTTATCTGGGGCTGAAAAAATTATTTGTATTAATTGATTATTTCAATAATCATCAACTAATATGTGATAGTATGTGATTCATCATATACATAAATATATAAATATACATATAAATATATAAATATATATATATATATATATATAAACAACCAGATTCAAGCATTTTTACCAGACATTAATGTTTATACTAATTTACTTATAGACTGTGTGGAAATCTATATAAGATAAAATGAATGTTAATATTCTTCCTCTGTTTGCTATTGTCTTTATCCTATTTCTAGAAGTATAAATAGTCAATTAAATTACTATTATTATGTGGAACCCTAATTATGCTTTTTAAACGAAAAATAGCAGATGTTTAGACGCCATTTCTTCTTGTTATACTCTATAAAAGAAATAACACCTGCTAATAGTTATACCTGAACTTCCTCAAAGAGTCATCAAAAAATGAAAACAGTAATAGCAACTATATATCGGTGAAAAGGAAACCCTCACATTTTCTTTCTTAGTTGGCTGTGAATAAGAATCAGAAATGTTGATGGCTTACAGCCTTTATTTGCCCATTTTTCCAGCAGTCTTCAGAACTCCTGGCTGACTCAGAATATTTCGTTTTATAAAAGAAAAAAAAGGTTTTTGTTTTTTAGTGTACATGATATTCAGTTTTTTTATTAGGACTAGTTTTGTAGCCTAATATTAATTGTAGTAACCGCTGCATTCTAGTGTGAATAAGTTTTCAATTTTGTGCTCCAAGCACACGCGGACTAGAAAACTGCCAATCAGAGAGAGAGAAGGCGGAACCTAAGGCAGAACAACCAATGAGAGTGGAGTTAAACAGCGCAGCACAGTTCCATGCGCTGCTACGTGAAAGGGACAGGAGAGACCAGGCAGAGGAGCTGCGAGAGGAAAAGAAGCCACTGCTGCAACAACTACTGCTGCAAATTATAAACATGTTGCTCACATCCAATTATTGGTAGGGACAATTAGGTCGGTTCAAAATTTTGGTAGGGACATGTCCCTATGGTCCCTATGCAAACCTACGCCCATGTTTGACATTATTGTGTATTCCTTAATTGTTATGAAAATACGATATACAGAGCAACAATACAATGATTTAGAGAATGTACAGTTTGTACATAAGATTTCTTCCTTACCGAGGAGGATAAGAAAAAATTGGGAATTTGTGCCTTTTTTTTTGTTACCAGCAACATGCAGAAGCTCGTCTCAGCTTGCTTTCGTCCAGAGACTCCTCCAATAATCTGGGATATGTTTTATGAAATAAGTATCCATAGTATTACGAAACTTTTCAAATGATTTTGATGTACACACAAGTTCCGAACATCTATGTTTCTTGGGTAGCGTTTGTTTTAAAAATCTGTCTCTGAAATGTCACATCCATCCTGGGTTATCGGATTCTAATCCCTGGATTAACAAACAACAACAACAAAAAAGATTATCATCTGAAAGACTAAATCCACCTGATCACCTTCTGTTTGTTTTTGTTTCTTTAATGTGTGGATCCACGGCCGTCCTCCTATATTTGATGACCCTTTGGCAGTTTGAGGTGATTCTGTGGTTTAACTTCTTCCTCCTTCCCCAGACACGGGTCTGTTTAGACCCAATTTTCTCTGAAAGGCAAAAAGGTGAGTTCACAACAGGCGCACACAGTAGATTATGCCACCTCTTTTAGAGCACTGTCATTTAACCTTTCCATGTAATTACGCAATTCCTTTGAGTCTCCCAGCTGAACGTCCTGGCACACCCACTTGATGTCCTGGCTGTGACTTCCTGTAAGTGTATTAACAGCTGGGCGGCTATCGTCTGAACAAAGAGTGGTAAACGTGGTGAACTTGACTCTTTTCCTCTTTGTGGTGGGGGAGTCTCCTTTGCCGTCCTTTGCTGTGTCGGCGGCCCGGTGGACCTGTCCTTGCACGTTCTTCTGCATGGAGCCACCATTCAGCAGGTGGCTACCCTCCTCCAGGCCACTGCTCGAGTCTATCATGGAGGTTTGCTCCTCCTGCTGAGGTGACAGGCTGATCTGGCTGTCCAGCAGCTCCGCCTCGTTCCCGAGCCACACCCAGTCGTGGGCATGGTTCAAGTTCTCCTGGCCCTCAATGGAGAGCTCCTTGTGGCGATATTTGAGAGTGTATGACACGCAATTAATGAGAAAGACTAGGATGGCAAGGCAGAAGACGCCAAGCAAGGCATACATGCCAATCTCCAGGTCTGTGAGTCCTCGACTGCTGTGCATGAGGTCATCATCGGTATTACGGCCGTGAGGCAGATCTACTTGTGCAGGAAAGTCTGCAAAGTCAATTGGCATGTTTTGACCACCTCCTGAAAGTTTAGGTCTGCGGATTATAGCACTTCTAGTCGTGGTAGCTCTCCCTGACACTCCATCCTCAATGTCAGAGATGGAGCTGCCATAGTAGTGGGAATCAAGGCCAGTCCTGTCCTGTGATGAGAGCCTGCCTCTGTTCTCCATGTCGTCTCCATCTGGGCCATAGTCGTTGCTCCCACCCCTTGAGCTGTCACCGGGACCAAATTTAACCATGACATTATAGTTTCCTGCAGCCAGGATGCTGCGGCGCTTGAACTTCTGGCAAACTTCGCTGACAGTCATTTCCACCCTGATGAGCAAACCTTGACCCTCAGCCTCTGTCACAATGACAGGCCATTTCCACGAGGGGTCCTGCTGCACAGTGACCACTTCCTTATCTAGGGACGTGGCTGTCAGCACAAAGAAGTCAGGATCGTAGAGATCCAGTGGTGCCTGAGAACCGTCGCTAAACTGGAGCCAGGCGCTGATCAAGGCCTCCTAATGAAACACAAACAGAAAGAAGATCATGAATATAACACTATTACTTCAACTATAAATAGATCGTGTTAGCACACGTTAGCTCCCTCTAAGAAGGAAGGAAGCTGACCATAGGCAAGAGACAGCAGCAAAAAGTAACTCAATACATAACAATGGTACAAAAAATAGGAAAACAAATTATTTATTTTTGATGAATGTATGGATGGATGAATGGAAAGACAAACAGCAGGATGGAACAGATACATGGAGGAAAAGATGAAGAGAAGGATGAATGAATGAATAAAAGAATGAATTAATGAACGGACAGATGGACGGAGGACCAGATATTGTTTAAAAACATTGATTGGATTTATTGCTTGAATTAACACTTGCTAAGATATAGTTGGCAGACTCTGAGGCAATTCTCTCAAAGTTAAAAAGGAAACAGATTAAGGGAAAGGAAAGAAGAGATTAAAGGATTACATCAAACATTGTTCATGCCAATAAGGATTTGCTATATATTTGCTCTTAAAGCCGCCTAACAACTGCCTGTTTAATGTTGCTGAAGGACAAATCCCGAGAGGGGAACAAGTATCCCGCCACCATGGTCTGCAAATGTCTCCTAATTACTGCCACCAGAGGACTAACACTGCTCCACTGCCTGCTTATCCTTGCACTGTGAATAAGGAGATGTAGAGATAAATGCCTGCTCCGTTCCTGTCTCTTCTGCAAAAGAAAGAAAGCAGAGGAAAGTGGTGAGAAGCAGCACAGAGAATGCATGATGGGGCTTGGTGGTTCAAAGAGGCCACTATTCAAGATGCCCTACCAAATTACTGTAGCAGGACTGAAAGTTTGATAGAACAGCAGCACTTTGAATATAAGTCATATTTTCATACAGCGGCTGTGATTTCACACTTGCATTTTTTTTGGGATTAAGTTTCCTCTTTTAGCTGAAACCCAAAAAACATGTCTGTCACACTGTTGCTCTCAAAACTCTTGTTCTAAGAGTCCTGGAGGTAGAGAAGAACACATAAACCTTTTTGAGGAAATGCAGGCTGCAAAATTTGCTCATTTTTATTTAGCCTGATGAATACCTTTTTCTTTCTAAAGTTCATTTTCCAAATGTCTGATTAAACGTGCAATTTTAAGCACATTAAGGATAGAGACTACTGTGTTAAATTAACACCATTCTCGGTGGTAATCACACCTGCCTAAACGGTGTGCAATTACATCTGTTTGGTTTTAATGTAAGGCATCAAAATCAGCAGTAAATTGAGCTGAACACCAGCAGCTAACAAAGAGAAGAACAGGTCATTACGGCTCTCTTTCCACTTTTAAAAAGACGCAATGATTATTCCCATTAACATATAACCTGCATGTATTATCTTTCAAAATTATCTCAATTATCTGACAGCTAACCAATACAAACACCCCATTTAATTTCCTGTTACTCGAAGTGCTACAAACACAGCGAAAGTAATTATACTTTACTAAATATCTAATTAAAGAATTTGGAATTTATTAAAAAATTATCATATAAATTGTATTTGATTTTTTCCTTTAATGAATCTACTGATTTCATTGATAAATATAACCAATTCTGACCTGTTTGGGGTTCTGCAGAATGTCTTGTGTGCTGGTGCTGGCAACAATGGCCCTGTTGCTCCCTGGACTTAACTGCAGCCCCATAGTCAGTCCCGTCACCAGCTGCACGCCAAGCTCTGTGATGGTCACTTTGTCATCCACCACTGTTACTGTTTTCTCAGCCAGGATGGAGTCTGACAGTGGGGACAAAACCTGGTGGCAAAATCAAAGTAACAAACAGATCTTTAAAAAGGTTATAGATGTGGTTAAAAAAACAAACAAGTAAAAATGTTTTCATTTCCAAGTCACTGTGTGAGCAGTTTTAAACAGAAGGGTCCCCAAGATTAAACCCAGCATGCAATGTGAATCAGTGTTTCCAAACCTTTTTTGACATTTTGTCTTACCATGAGTACCCCCCTCAGTCAAAGGTATTGATGATTATCCTAAAGTGCAATGTAAAATAACTTATTATAAAATAAAAAAAACATTTGACTTAATTACTTTATTACTAGTAAACCTTTTAACATGAGCATTGCATTCTTAAAAATCTAAAAAAAAAAACAAAAACAAATATGTTACCTGGATGTTGGTAAGGAATCAAAATAAATACAAAATAAATGATATTATAAAAAGGTATTTATAAAACTGGAGCTTCTCTGAGTAACTCCCTTACAATCACATTTAAACTTGATAAATTGGGAACAAAATACAGAATAAAAATCATAGTCAGACTGACTGAATGATTATTACTTTGTGTTCATCAAGATGCCTGAGCTTCTTTGATGACCTCTGATAGCTCAGTGTGAAAAACAGTTGATCCCAGGCTGTTCTCTACATCCAATCTGTTCCTCTGCTTATTTTTTGGTTCATAAAAGCTTATTTAATTTTTCAGGTTGGTCCTCACGAAGCAAAAGAGATCCCAGCCCTTTTTTATTTTACTACCTAAAAAAAAGGGTATCTGTAATCTTTAAGCAGGAGGGCTACCGCAGGTCATTCATTCCTGCTGCCACCAGACTCTATAATACTGCACTATAACCACAATAACTCCTATAAAAACCACTGTGCAGCTATATTATAATTTTTTATTTATTGACTGTGCAATATGCAGTGCAATATGCTGACTGTGCAGTATTTGTGAATAGAATAGTCATACCACTACCTCACTGTTGCTCCTCACCTACTACACTTTAATGTAAAAGTAAATCCACCTGTTTATAAGCAATCCGGATTGTACATATGACACCTCAAATCTCTGTGCTACTCCCTTTTTTTTTCTTTTTTTTTTTCTTATTTTTATTTTGTTTTTCATTGTGCGTGATACATGTACACTTGCACCTTAATCCTTATTTATCCTGATATACTGTATATATATTGTTTATTCTTAATGCACCTTTTTCCTCCTTGTTTGCACATTCTTTATTTACTATGCCAATATTTGACCAGTGAATTTCTCCGCTGTGAGATCAATAAAGCTCATCTAATCTAATCTGATAAAATATTTTCATATATCCCTTGCAATGCACTCGCAGACCACTAGGAGTTTGAGTACCCTGGTTTGGGAATCACTGACGTAAAGTTATGTACACACATAAAGAAATCCATGCTCTTTAAATAAAACACAACCAGACAGAGCTCTACCAAAGAGACCAACCCAGTAATATAAAATGATCGACAGTATTAATTCTGTGCTAACCATTTAACTTCTTTTCTATAATTTTAAACTTAACTGGGAATTTTAACATTCTTCTTTTACAACGCTAGCTGTGACAAAGCAACTGGTTATTTATCAATGCTGACTCTGTTCTTTCAACATCCCTGCAGTAACACACTCAGAAGTTAAATTCTTTGAATCTTTTCCCTAAACATCACAAATTTTTGTGTTAATAATGTTTATTCAAAGGATCTTTGACCCTCAGCTTTTCTTTGGACAGATATTCAACAAAACTTAGAAAGCTGTACAGCTTTCAAGTCGCAGGGAAACAGCTGTTCCAATCGTCGCAGTTTGGAATTCTCCCGAGTGGTGCTTGACTTTACACGAGCACATAAATTGAATTTGATTGGTCGATTATTAGGAGGACGGGATTTTCGATTGGTTTTGGCCGGTTTGTCGGAAGCATCTTGCCAAAGAGCTAGAAACTTAGTGCAAGTAGGTTCCCAATGGGAAATGACATTGGGACCAAGTAGCACTAAGTTGGTGACTTAGGCTACGTTCACACTACAGGCCTTAATGCTCAATTCCGACTTTTTTGTGAAATCGGAATTTTTTGCGTGTCCGTTCACACTTCCAAGTATATGCGACTTGTATGTGATCTACTGTGTGAACTGAAAGCGTTCAACCGAAGTGTCCCGCATGCGCACTCGAGGACGCGATGACATCACATATAGCAAGCGTCCTCAGTGTTTGCGGAAGTAAACATGACTCGTAATACCGCAGCGTATATTGCGTTCTTTAAGTTCTTCTCCAACAGGAGCAGGCACATTACGAACTAAATCTTTTTAAGAAGATCAAAAAGAAAGAGAGCCAGGTTCCGGTAAGACCCTTCGAGTTTGATCTGAATCGAGCTATCTTTCCAAATATGAATAAAGTCAGCAACCTCACTTTCTCTCCATTGACTGCTCTCTGTGTTATCTTCCGCCATGGTACGTTTAGTAACATTTGTCAAGTATCAATGACGTGTAGGTCGGATGAATGCGACCTGGCCGTACAGACACAGATCGCATTTGAAAAGATCAGATACGTATCGGATTCAGGACCACATATCCAAGTGGCCTGGGTCGCATTCGAAAAAATCCGATCTGTGTCGTTCAGACTGTCATAAAAAGATCTGATACAGGTCACATATGGGCAAAAAAATCGGAATTGGGTCACTTCAGGCTGCAGTGTGAACGTAGCCTCAGAAACGACACTGTCAAGGAACGCTATGGACAGCAGAAACATGTAAGAGGAGGAGAGTTTGGGGTCGTGGATGAGTCTCCTCCGTCATCCATTTTTTATTTAGAGGAGGAAAGCGGGGACAAAGATGTTGTGGAAGAGGACGCCAGGGCGGCAGAAGCTTGGTTTGGTGTAGAAGGCTTCCAGCCGTACATGTTTGAGCCCTTGCCTCACAACGCTGCCAGTTCTGTTAGCTCTACGCCTGCCGAAGACACAGATGTCCATCCCCGTGAACACTGGGACGGAACTCAATGGGAAAGGAAATTATTCCTATTTATTACTTCAACCGTTGCGTATATTAGCTGCAACATATGAATCAAGATGCTATGACTGAAAACATTTGATTGACAGACGACCGTTGATATATGATTGGCCGAATTTAGGTGTACAAGCTGATGTATAACTAACTGGCCTGCATAATATAACGAAAGAATAAACACAGATTATAAGACAGGATTTTATTTTTAAAATAGAAACTTCTAAATTTTGGGACAATATGGTCTGATAAAGATTACATTTATATACATGTTTAAGCCAGAATGATTTGACACTTAAATACGATTACCCTACGACTTTAAGAAGCAATCACTCATGATCTTAGCTGATGTAGTGTTGATGTTGCTACACTTTGTTTGAATGCCCTGTATTTAGATACTCTTAACATAGTGGTACCAATAAAAACTATTCCTAAAACTAAATAACAAAACTAAAAAAACTGTGGATTTATGTAAGATTAATTAATTAATTTGCCAATCAAAAAAGACTGTCCTATGGTAGGTTGCCTGTTGAAACTTAATACATTTTAAATTCACAACGCTAACAACATGACTGTGTCGTAACATTGTTTCTGGCTCTCCACTCTCTGTGACGGAAATTTCACATTTATTTAATAAAATGGATATATCCTCCAGTCCAAAAGCCATTCTCTCTCCATTGCTTTTTAAAAACAGTTTTCACTGTTAGTGGCCTTAAATGCCAGAAATTTTTTTATAATTTTTCCCTGATCATTTACAGTCTTATTTATGTCAAAGCTTCTTGAATAAGTAGAGGCAAAGAGACAGATAACTTATGTGTCATGAAGGGTTTCAGAAAAGCCCAGTATGCAGAACACCACGGAAACGGATGAAAAGTTTAACAAAGTTTATTGAATACAAGCACATGGAATAAACACTGGAACTTGTTCGGGCCTGGGGGCAGGTTCACTGGAGTCTGTGAGGATGACAGTTCAGTTAGCTTGGGAGCAGAAGAGTTTGAGTTTGAGAGTTTCTGATTGATACCTTGAGGAGTCCGGGTTTGGCTTTGAGAGAGGAACTGTTGGGTCCAGAGGCAGTTTAATTCAGCAGAGTCCAATAACCGCTTCAGCGTCTTACTTCTAGTTTGAGGGCAGACCTTGGTTTTAAGTTTCCAGCTCTTTGTCCAGAGCTGCATGGGAATCCAGAGAAGAGTCTTCAGGTTTGGCTCTGAGGGCAGGCTCGGCAGGTTAAGCTCATCCAGAGCTTACAAGGGAAACAGGATTCCAAACTGGATCAACACTGCGGCGTTGAGGCAAGGTCTGAAGGCTGGTTATAAAGGAGAGGATCCTCTGATGACGAGATGCGCCTCAGGTGTGTTGGAGGCTCAGCTCAGGAGGATCCACGGCGCACTCTGCTGGAGAAAGGTGGAACAGCTCCAGATCCCAACAGTACCCCCCTCTCAACGACCGCCTCTTGACGGTCCAGAAGACGTCGACAGGAGGGAGCGCTCATACTCCTCGATCAAAGACGGATCGAGGATGTAGGAGCCAGGAACCCACTGGCGATCTTCCGGACAGTAGCCCTCCCAATCGACGAGGTACTGCCATCCGCGACCTCGCCGACGGGAGTCCACGATCCGGCGGACGGTGAAGGCAGGATGTCCATCGACTTCCAGGGCGGGTGGAGGGGAGTCGGATGGAGGGCACAAAGGGCTAGAGACCACTGGTTTGACCTGGGAGACGTGGAACGTGGGATGGATGCGAAGACTCGAAGGAAGGTGCAGGAGTATGGCTGAAGGGTTATTGGAGGTCAGACAACGGAGAGTAGACCCGAGCTGCTGGTTCATTCTTTCGGTTTGACCGTTTGACTGTGGATGATAACCTGAGGTGAGTGAAGACTTACAGTTGAGTGCTGCGCAGAAGGCCTTCCAGACTTGAGAAATGAACTGGGGTCCGCGGTGAGAAAGAATTTCCTGGGGGATTCCATGGAGTCGAAAAACGTGTTTAACCAGGAGCTGGGCGGTTTGGAAGGCCGTGGGAAGTTTCCTG